AAACTTAAAGTCACTGGTGCGCGAGCCTGTGGTTAGATACGCGTCATAATTGTAAGAGCTGCGGAGAGTTCCTGCTCCATCCACATCTGCATAATTGGGAGGGAGATAGGCGCTGGGAACAGCAACTGCTCCATCAAACAACAGTCTGGGCTTTCTCTTGTGACAAAACTTCACTGCCACGATCAACATGATGAACGTCAGGAAGAAGGTGGACACGCAAACTAATGCAATGATCAAATATGATGTTAATTTAGAGTTGTTGTCCTCATAAGTCATATCTTTAAGTTCAGGAACTTCAGAAAGGTTGTCAGAAATGAGTACATTTACAGAACAGGTCATAGACAGAGAGGGCTGTCCATTATCTTTCACCGAAATAACAAGGATCTGCTTCATGTTGTCAGATTCAGAAATGTCTCGTTGTGTTTTGATCTCTCCACTATGGAGACCAATAGTGAACAGTCCCGGATCAGTAGATTTGACAATCTGATAGGACAGCCATGCATTCTGTCCAGAGTCAGCATCTATAGCGATCACTTTGGACACCAGAGAGCCTGAGAGAGTCGCTTTAGGGACCATTTCAGTCATTAAAGACTTCCCATCAGGAACAGGGTATAATATCTGTGGAGAGTTATCATTCTCATCTGTTATGAAGACTTTCACAGTCACGTTACTGCTGAGCGGTGGAGATCCATTGTCTCTGGCAACAACTTTGACAGTGAGGTTTCTGAACTGCTCATAGTCAAATGATCTTACAGCATGAATCACCCCTGTATCTCCATTAATAGATAGAAACGAGGACACTGCGACCCCATTGACTTCACTGGTTACCAGAGAGTACAGTACAGTCCCGTTCTGTCTCCAGTCTGGGTCATTTGCACTGACAGAACAAACAGACGTACTTGGTTTGTTATTTTCACTTAAATAAACGACATATGTTTGTAACTCAAATGTAGGGGGGTTGTCGTTGATGTCTGAGACTTGTATGTTCAGAGTTATATTGGAGAATAAAGGGGGAGTACCTCCATCCGTTGCTGTTATTGTTACATTGTAATTTTCGATTTGTTCCCGATCAAGCGAACGAGTTGTAGTGATAATGAAATAAGATTTGATGTACGGCTGTAGTTGAAATGGCAGACTTGTCGAAATGGAACAACTAACCCGGCTGTTTTGACCGGAATCTTGGTCCTTCACGTTTATTACAGCGATCTCTGAACCGGGTGGGATGTTTTCTGGGATTTGTTTTTTCAGAGACTTTACTGATATAACAGGCGCGTTATCATTGACGTCATCTATTTCAATAACAATTTTACAATGGCCTGTCTGACCACCACCATCCTCCGCCTGCACTTCCATCTCGTACGAGGAGGCCTGTTCGTGGTCCAGCTGTCCAATTACAGATATTTCTCCATAATTTTCGTCAATTTTAAACAGTTCTTTCGTATTGTCAGATAGGTGATTGATATAATACGTTACTTGCCCATTTGCCCCCTCATCCACATCGGTCGCAGCAATTTTGATGACAGAAGTTCCAAGTACTGCATTTTCAGATAAACGAGTATTGTAAAAAGGCTGCGAAAATAATGGTGCATTATCATTCACGTCTATCACGAACACTTCAATAACAACTGTTCCAGATTTAGGAGGATTTCCCCCATCCACTGCAGACAATATCAAGGAATGCTCTCCTTTTGTCTCTCTGTCCAGACTGTTTTTCAAAACAATGTCCACATACCTGTCTTTATTTGATTTTGTATCAAGAACAAAATGTTTGTTTTGGCTAAGAATATATGTCTGAACTGAATTCATTCCCACATCCAAATCCCGTGCACGAGCTATTTGTAATTTACTTCCGGTCGGTGCTCCTTCGCTTATCTCCAGCTTAATTGAGTCTTTGGGGAAAACAGGAGGGCTGTCATTGATGTCCTGGACTTCCAAAACAACGTTATGAAGCTCTAAAGGATTTTCGAGAACAAATTCAAAGTGCACGAAGCAGGGGGATGTCGTTCTGCACAGCATTTCTCTGTCGATCCTATCCGAAACAAAAATATTTCCAGAATCTAGGTCTACTTCACAGTATCGTTTATCCCCTTGGTAATCCAAACGGGCTTTGCGAATCCTCAAGCGATTAGAATCCAAATGAAGGTCCTTACTCAGACTTCCAATAACATATTTTGTCTTTGTTTCCTCCGGCACAGAATAACGAACATCAGCAGCGGTAACGCAGAAGAGAAGCGATGTTATCCATAATCGCCATTTGGCCAAACACAGTTTAGACGTTTTCGCCATATTTTTTTGATGCAATATAGTAAAGCGTTGTTTCGAAATGCTCTTCACAAACAACTGATTTATTTCGTCGACCGCACTGCTATGTCGGACAAATGTTTACAGAATAGAAAATTACCCACACCAATGGGTGTGTTCTTATGCCCAAAAAAGCAGAGCTAGTCAACAGCGACGCTGTGTGGTTGAATTGAGATTAGGTTTAGTCTGTGAGGTTTCATTCATGGTGTGCAAGTTTCTGATAATGTAGCTAGATTTAAATCCACAGTTTCATTCTAACTTGGTATGTCACAGATAATCCTGAATTAGTATTCTTTCCTAATAGGAAGACCTGGTTAATACAAAACCCTAAATATACAAGAAAGATTACCGTGGGTTTTTGTTCACACTGTAGATAACACCACACCACATAAACCAACAGTAGGCCTATCAATATGAGATTACAGTCTTTCTTTTAATTTAGAGTATTTATATGTTCATGCCAGCTGCATACGCCACAAACTGGCGAATGTTTTCAGCACCATGGACAGCACACTCCGTGTAGTCGCCGAACAGGACTGCTGGAATAGAAAGTCCGACTGCAGATTTAGGCAATAATGTCCGTAGAATGAAATTTGACTCGGTAAAGTATTCTACATTCAATATACGAGAGTAAAATTAGAAATTAAATGTTAAATAAAATAGAGTATACATAGTTAAAAAATATAAAGAAGAAGAAAAGTATGATTGAGAAGTCAATGTACTACATTTGCTATCTGGTAAAATGGAAACGAAACAGCCTATTTCTGCTGTATTGAATTGAACTGCACACATCTGGTATCCTGCGTAACAGTCAGCAGACTGACGTACATTTAAATAGAACATTTCCAAGTTCAATGCCTCGCTTTGTTGTTGTTTTGTGTGTGTGTGATGTTCGAATCAAATGCGATCCGAAATATGGCAGTTTCAATGCATACATTATTATACTCCACTATTGTATTATATTTACACTCAAAATCTTGCCGTTCAAGCTTTTCATTTCTCGTCACTTCAAATTATTTCCGACCCAAACATAACTTAATCCTACTATTTCACTCCTTGGAGAACAATAGCGGCAGTTTGTTTCAGAAGAGTTATGATTTTTGCAGGTCCATTTGAATTGTCACCGAAATTATATTTTATATTTTAATTATAATTATATTTTTAGCGCAGAAGATGAAAAAAAAATTAATAGAGAATATTTGCAAGCCAATGCTGTTACTGTGTTATTAACAATACAGACAGACAAAATAAAAACCACAGATAAATCTCCAAACCTTATGAAAGAAAACTTTATTTGTGATTTATAAACAAAACACATTACCAGATTTCATAAAGTAATATAAAATAATAAAAACCATTACACTGATGAGCAGGTGTACAAAAAATTTGTCCAACAGATTTGCACTGTCAAAGTCAAAAGCATAGTGCCACTTAGGCACTGGACGAATTAATATATAATTACTACACACAAGCAGAATACATATACCTTTTTATTTCCTGTTTTATCATTTTTTTTTTTTTTTTTTTTCTTCTTCTTTTGAAGGAAGACGTTTTTATTATAGGGAAGTATGAACTGGCTCACATTACAGTGTTATTGATTTCAAAGCCTAGCACAAAACGAAGGATTTATCCTTTCACGTTGCAAAAATCATAAGGTTGTAAAGAAAAGCAATTTAGAGCATAACACTACAGCATTACATATACCTAGAATGTTAACGTTGATCACCACAGAGCCGACATGGTTGCGGTCTTTTTTTTACGCTCGATGTGTGTATGTAATCAGTGTATGTTTGTGTATGAATAATTTGATTAATGTCTACATACTTCAGCAGAGACAATACACATCTCCAGTTCCATCAGAAATGAGAAAAAAAATAATTATGAAAAACATATCTCTTCATTTATATCTATATATAATTTGTTTTAATTGCGTCTAACATGCAAAACAGTCACTTGGTGATCTGACAGCACTGAACCACACCTGAAAAAGACTCAAGTGAGAGAGAGAGTGTGTGTGTGTGTGTGTGTGTGTGTTTTGTGATGATATGGTCTCATAGCAGCACAAACATCTCTCCTTTACTGAACAGTATCTCTACAGACTTAGAAGGGAAAGAAAGGAGAGATGTGCTCCCTCTAAAAAACATGATGTCTGAATGTTATGAAAACATTCCCATTATTTACAAAATTTTAATCAACATCTATGGAACTGTCATGAAGCTATATCTCATCATTGATTATATACAGTAGAAAAACTCTGTACTGCCCACAACTGTGGTCTTCTCACTCTAATCTCCACTCAACCTCTATTTTTGCCCTAGAAAGCACCATATCCTGTAGTTAAACATGTCCAAAAGCATGGCTGCATAGTCCATGGTGGTTCAACTGCTGTGAGAGCATAAACACTGGTGTGTGTGTGTGTAGCATAAACACTGTGTGTGCATGTAGGGGCCAGTACCTGTGCTTATGTTTCCAGCAGAAGAAGTGACAATAATATTGGCTTGATTTTTCTGCTCTTTCTTGTCACATTGTACAATACGAGCCACCAGGGAGCAGTACTGACATGGGGCCAGCAATGCACACCAAATAAAGGGAAGTTGGCAACATCAGATATGCGAAAGTTACAAGCAGTAGCTAAGGGCAAGTAGCTGGACTAAGACATAAAGCTGGCAGCAAGTGGGATGACATCTATCAAACATTCAAAACAGCAGCAAAGGAAGTGGGTGTTTTGTGAAATGAAGCCACACGCATTCATTCTACTATTTTACAGACTTTTGAGAGGCTGTTGTGCTTCAGTCCTGTGGTGATTTTAAGTGTACAGCATGTTGACAGCCTGTTCATAGTGTATTATGCACTAGGGAGCAAGAACGCACATCAATTTGTGATTTGTATTCATACAAATCATGGGCGTGCATGATTTTTGACTGTATAAGTTGAGATTTACTTGCTCTTAGAAAATATACTGAGTAAAGCATCATTCGGAGATTTCAGCATTACTTTTGGAGCAGGTCAGAAGCATTAGCGATCTCTGTGCCCTGTTCTAGGACGGTTTTGTGAGTGTAAAGCAAGTGATTTCGCTACTACATTCCCATCTCTGTAGGCATTTATTTTTGATCTGCTATAGAAATCAGACACTGGTCTTTCTGATAAAGTTGAAGTGTCTTTTTTTGTCTTTTACAAAGTTTTGATTCCAGCAGATCAAGGAGTGAGATGGGGCCAGGGGTGGTTGTTTCCTCCCCGTCTGACATTGAGGGAGGAAGGCAGGGATAAAGTTAGAAAAAGCTCTTGGTATGGCATGAGTTCATATCCAGTTTAACTGGATTAATTTGATCCTTTTAAAAGAGGAGAGGGACTTCCCTCATCGTGGTTGAAAATGTAATTTACAAGGTGCAAGGCTTGATTTGAATTTTGCAGACTGGAGTTCTTTCTTGAACATCACTGATTAATTTCTGCACCAGAACTAGAAAAATAGCCAATCAGAGTCACAGGTCCACAGGGTTAATTTGTTAATTTTTTATGTTTGTGTGTACAGCACAAACTCTATTCTTTCTTAAACTGTAATTGGTAAATAAGGTATATAGAAGGAATTTCTCCTCTCTTTATATTTTCAGTATTTTTGGTTTTCTCTTTCTGTCAGCGTTTGCTACAAACATAAATTGATAGCTGTAATATCGTAGTGGGATGTTCTTTGTTACTCCTCGCCATCATCTTTTCCTTTATCCTTCTTGTCCTTCTTTTCCTTCTTCTTCTTTTTCTTCTTCTTAGACTCCTCTTTCTTTCCGAAGGTGATGAACTCGCCCTTATCATCAACGGCACCTGGGTCCTGCCGGATGGAGATGATGGCAGGGGAGCCAGGAATGATGAAGGCTTCAGGGGGGATCTCTCCTGGCCTCAGGGCTTGTGGAGGACCATAGCCGGGGCCTGCACCATAGCGGAAGCTCCAGCTGTTACTGTTGATTCCAGCTCCAACAGGAGGGGACAGCTGTCCCTCTCCCTCCCCATCTGAATGAGAAAAATTACAATAATTAGATTGTATCATCATTACTTTCCTCATA